CCCCCCCCCCCACTGCCCCTTACGCTGTGCCCAGCCCGCTCTCGTACTCTAGGGATTTTTTGGGAGACAGGAAGTCCTCGTCCTGGTCCTTCAGTTCGTCCAGCTTCAGGTACTTGGCTCCTTCCACTCCCATCAGCTCCTCGCCTGCGGACCACAGCGCAGTCAGACACGCGGACGCCGGCAGGCGCAGACACAGAGTGGACAAGAGGAGAGCAGTGACCATAAGATCTTCAACAGGGCACATTCCACTACAAATCTACAGCTGCAGTCCAAGGTCAGGTGTTAGTGAAGCAGGCTAAAGTAAAAACTCTGAACGAAGATAAAAACTTCAGAAAAAGAACTTCTGTCGCCATCTGGGTGATGAAACCCAAGCAAGCAGTGGCTGCCATATACTGTATATAACCCTTACATGGACTGACACAGTGAGAGAGTGTGATGACGCTTCGCTGTTTGCAAAACTACACTTCAAATGAAAGTCCATAATTGAAGGCATACTGAATTCACGGTGTAACATACTTTGCAGGACCACTTTCTAATTCTTTATTCCCATTTCAAAACTGTGTGTTTATTGACTTTTTCTTCTTCCTTGCTTATTTTATTTCAGTCACTGACCCTGGCCATGAACCCCTAAATGAGGGAGGACCCCCAGATATTGTATTTATTGTGCTACAGTGGCTGTTATTACAGGCTCCTAATCCAAGCTGGGAGGGGAAATGTCATTGTGTGTTATTGCTGGTGCTGTGTGTTGTTCTGTTTACTGTATGTCGGGTAAGGATAGGGTCATCATTCAATTTTAATGTGATTAAAACAAAAGCAGGTTACGGATTAAAAGGAGTCAATCCAATCCATCATGTGTGTTTGTTTTCCTGGTAAACTTTCGACCAGATCCATTCCTCTCTCTGACTCAAGATAACGCAGAGATACATAGCTATTTTCATTTTCCATCAAAAGTCCTAATTTGATTAAATTAGTGCCTGATGGGGGCTACAGCACAGGTCTCCAGTCTCATGGCACGTTTTGTATTGAATTTGGACTGGGCCCATGTTCTATTCACTAGATTGCCTCCAAAGGTTGCTGAAGGATGAGTTCCATGCTTGGCATTCTGATGACCAGCAACACCAGGAGATCTGCTACATTCTGCTCGATTGGGCAGGGGTAATGATTCCTAACTTGCTTATGGAGGAAGAGTAGAACGGTCTGTGTCCGTGTCACTTTCTGCCTGTTCTGTCTCCTTCTGAAACATCCGTGCAAAACACTTCCTAATCTGACTCCGGACCTTAGAAAGTCACACAATGTTCTCAAATGAGAACACACCTCCATCCCTAAACTGAAGTAACAGAGTGAGGAGACCTCTGTGTGTGTCATAAAGCACAGCAACACCAATGGCAGGATAAGCGGCACTATGATCACCAAATACAGCATTCCTATCTCCAAGAAAATAAATGTAGGATTATTTCAGAAAAAAAAACAGTAATTCCATCAGTTCTTCATACCAAATTATACATGTACAGTATAAATACATTGACATAGCTCAAAACAGTCGTGCACAGGCAAAACGTTTGACTCTACTTATCTGGTCCACTTTAATTTGGTGCTTTTCTGTGACAGTGGGACAGAATATTAAAAAGGTCTATCCTGCCTTGTTCAGGGGACAAATGGAGGAGCAGATGCAGCATGAAAACTGCACAGTAGATATGAGACATCATGCGCTGACAGAAGCCAGAAACAAGACTTTCATCTTCTGAGTTAACCAAGGGAGACCAGAATGGCATTGCAATAGGATCATGACAGGGTCTCTTCTACAGGCAGATACTGGCAGAAACAGGAGGGGCTGTTCTACAGGTACATTCTACCTCAATTCACATACACATAGCACAGAACAAGACAATAGACCCACAGCACAAGTAACACATGGACACCTCTCAACTCACAACTGGCAGCCCACTGAAGCTAAGCAGGTGTGAGCCTGGTCAGTACCTGGAGGGGAGACCTCCTGGGAAAAACTAAGGCTGCTGCTGGAAGTGGTGTTAGTAGGGCCAGCAGGGGGCCATGGGGGCCACATGGACCCAGTGGTCCATGTGGGTCCTAATGCCCCAGTATAGTGACGGGGACACTATACTGTAAACAGGCGCCGTCCTTCGGATGAGACATAAAACCGAGGTTTTGACTCTCTGTGGTCATTAAAAATCCCAGGGTGTTTCTTGAAAAGAGTAGGGGTGTAACCCCAGCATTGGCCCTTACCAACCATGGCCTCCTAATAATCCCCATCTATGAATTGGCTTTATTACTCTGCTCTCCTCCCCACTGAGAGCTGGTGTGTGGGGAGCGTTCTGGTGCACTATGGCTGCTGTCGCATCATCCAGGTGGTGCTGCACATTGGTGGAGGGGAGTCCCCATTACGAGTAAAGCGCTTTAAGTGGAGTGTCCAGAAAAACGCTATATAAGTGTAAGCAATTATTAATTATTATTATTATCAACATGAAAACACCATGCAGTGCTTAAAGGCCATGACACTTACACCTCTGTGCACTTTAACGCAACATCACCATACAGGGAACCTCACCAACACTCCCACACACAAAGACACTGAGACACATATATGTGGACACAAGTTGTTGGGATGAGATATTAAGCATGATTTCGTGGGGGGGGCTGACTTGATCTTCATGAAAAGAACCTCAATATGAAAAAGCTCACTGATGCACAAACCCTTTCCTACAGCGAACACAGCTGATGATGATCTGAGTGTTGAACTCAGATTGCAACATTTCTGTGCTGGTCAAAGAGAAACTGGGATTAAACAATTAGACAGGACAGGACAGCCCCCTCTCCCTCAAGCTATTCTGACTCAAGGACAGAGCTTCAGCAGCTCCAGAGTCCAGTTGAAGGTATTAAGGAAATTCCTGTCCCACTGAACCACTCCTGTCTGCTCTCTGATGGCGAGCTGAGGAGCCCCATATACCACAGTGCAGAGTTCCGTTAATGAAACACCTGGGGCTCCCCAGGTGTCTAAGAAATCTGCCCTGCCTGCCTCATCTTCCCAGCATATCCCTGTGCTGAAAGATTAATTGCTACTGTCTGATTTAGGGTGACACTAGGGAGACTTTCCTGCAGGAAACAGCTCATCAGCTCTGCTTTCTGTCAAGAAATACCGTGTTGATGAGTTCTGTGACTTTTTTCAGCTCTTGTGAAAGCCATGCCTACCCTGACTCATCCACTGCAGGGCGATACATCAGGCTACCTGCTTCTGTGACGCTCGGCAGCACACAATCAAATTTCCCCACTCTTTACTGCAGCACGTTTGAGGGATTATATCTCCTTTCCTCTTAAAGAGCTATCCCATCTGATTCATTCTCACAGTAATGCATGAGGATTTTCTCATTAGACTTATAACTGATTACAGGCCTTTTTGAGGGCCTTTCCTGTGGATGCCTATAAAAATCAGCTCCTGGAGGGATAGATTTGATTTCTACAAGCATTTTAATCAGCAATCCCCAGTTCTGGTCCTGGAGGAACACTGTGTCTACGGGTGTTCTGTACTGCTGGGCTTGAAACAACTCGAATCAGCACATTCCCAGCTAAACTGAAGACCCAGGTCTTCAGGTGTTGCTGCTGTGCAGACATAGTGGGCCTCTGAATGTGGGACTGAGGAGTCCTGGGGGAGACTCATGGTCAAGTAATGAGGACGAGCCATCGTCCACAGGTGACATTCCAGAGCACTCAGACAGCTTGACTTCCACCAGTGGGAGGAAACGTGATTCAAGTCCCTGATCTATAGAAATATAATCCACAAACAGGAAATCCTTCCAGACACTTCTGGCAAGGAGCCTACCTCACCAGCGCTGATCTTCATAAAGATTAACATCATGAAAAGCTTGGGAAGTGAAAACTGTGGGTAAAATTAATTCTTATTCATACATCTTTAATAAAGCAGAACACCACATAACAGGAAGAAAATCTGTTCTTTGGAGTCCTGGAAATGGGCTAAATAAATCTTTCTCATTTCCTTGAAAACGTTATGTTTGAGTTTACCCATGAATACGTGCATTCTTTTTTTTCCCCATTTTTTTTTAAAACTCAAATGACTGTCAGTCACCAACCTTTAACAAACCGGTTGCGTCAGGTAGAAATCAGGAAGCGGTCAACACCAGCGCAGTGGGTTCAGACAGCCAGGGCAGGCAAGGACACAGTAAAAGACACTGACGTGACAGCGCTGCTGCAGGGCGCGGCGGACACAGAGCGGGACAGCAGGCGGAGAGGAGCGGCCAGCGCACGGAGCCCAGGACGCGTCCCCACACCCTGCTGCTCGCACAGTGTGAGCTTCCCGCACTGCAGACAGGCCTGTCCGTGCTGCTACTGCAAGTCTCGTTAGTACTGTGCAGACCATGTGAGCGGGCGGGGGCGGTTATGGGTTAGACAGTACAGTAGCTGGGTCTGGAAGGGGTTCATGGTCACATGCGAATGAAGTCACGACCTCATGAGCGTCGAGTGAGCTTGAAATGGAATCACACGGTCACTACCACCTACGACGGCAATAGACAAGTAGTGGTTCATACCTAGCGTTAGCTGAGCAATTCCTAAAAAGAGGAAATAAAGTAGAATTTAGCTGCGGCCACACAGAGGCACAAATGTTTTTTTTTTAGACAGTTTTCTTCATTGTTTTGCAACTTACACAAATGAATACACACAGTTCCTAACAAAGCGTTGGTCTATGCAAACAAGATCACTTTTTTTTATGTAGTCCACGCAAAAGCCACCCATTTCTAGTGTGCAGGTTTAGGGGATCCCTGGAAAATATTGGCACTCGACAGGACAAAGAGCTGAGCTTCATGACGACTGATCAGCATAAAAAAAAAAAACTTCCAAGCTTCACAAGCTTCACAAGAATAAAAGAGAACAGCGGTCGTGTCCTGTGCTGGTGTTTTCAGTGACCCCATGAGTGGTGGACCCAGTTCATCTCTCTTGTGTGTGGAAGCAGAGCGACAGACAGGAAGTGTAATGAACTGTGACAAGAGCATGGCTTCACGGAGCACTGTGATTGGCCGGCCGCTGCTGCACTGCAGAACAGGGGGCAGCCAAAGAGCAAAACTTTCAATCTATCTTACTGCATGGCCGTGGCACTGCCAGATCTACAAGGGCTTAACAAGTAGGAGTACGCTGTGGGTTGTCTGTACGAAAGGCCTGCAGCGGCATGACCAGAGGTCTGGTATTTGACAGCTTCTGCTGTAAGGGATGTTATAGAAAGAACGCAGGTGAAGTCCACTGGCTGATACTCCACACCCCCCTCTAGTGGCAACAGCCCACCATTGCTGCAGTAACTGGTGACCATTCAAAAAAAGACAGTTCACCGTGATGGCTGTGCCCAGGTGTGCTGTCAGCACTGTTAAGTCACTTGGCAGCCAGACAGCAAGGGGTGCAATTTGCAGATCCAATGGCTTAGCTGTTTCTCCCTAAATGTTCTTTCATATTTAGAGAAACTGGCTTATGTCTGGTGTCTATGACGATTGGTCGCTCTGTGCAAAGAGCTATGTAATAATCACCTGTATTGATCACATCTATTCACATAATTTTATCGATAACATCATGTTGATAAATTAATTTTGCTTGCTTCAGAGCTGTGAGCTGTACAGTCCAGCCAATATCTATAGGAAGAATAGAAGCACGGCTGATAACATAAAAACATTAACAAAAAAATAAATACAATAATGCACTTGACTAAACTACTGTACCTGTACTGAAAGTAAACTATATCACAGTAGATCAGGATTTTTTTATTAATGCAAACTCAATTAAAAATTCAGTATATTTTTTTCAATTTTCAATAACTCCTATCGTAGCATTTTTAAAATAGAAATGGTACAAGAAGGAGGTCTCCCCCTGCATTGCCCTTCCCTCAGAGTAGAGCTCACTGGTGTTGTGTTAAAGACTGCAGTTTGAGACAGTGTTGGCTGTAAGGAGTCTGTGGGGAGAATGAATGCTTTCCTATGAAGTTTCAGCTTCTACTTGAAAAATCAGCTTCTACTTTGAAACCGTGAAAAGATGAACAATCCCGTTCCTAGAGGAAATGAGGCAGTCCGTTTTCACTTGCGCATGTTCTGCTGCATAGATCACAGCCAGCTCCCCTTAGGAAGGCTGCACACACAAATTCATTCAGCAAGACGCGCAACACTGTCGTGATGCATCATGATCATTATTGCTGAGCTCTCCTGGGGTGAGGGGCTGAAGCAGCTGAGTGTCAGGGCCGGTGTTCGGGCCTGTGGACATGTCGGAGAGCTCGTGCAGGCGGTCCTTACCTTCGTCCTCCGACACATCCAGGATCTCGTCCACAGTCTCGGGGAAGCTCATGCGGTGCTTCTCGGTGGTGCTCTGGAACACAAAGCCGGATTGGGTCACCCTGCAATGCAACTGCTGCAAACAAAGTTCATTCCCTGGGAACTCCATTTGTTTTGCTTGTGGCAGCTTCTCCAAGCCAGTAACAGGCCCTGGGTACTTCTTGTCTTTTACTTTGTGTGATTTTGCGCAGACAAGCATGTGCATTTATTGTATAACAGCATTGTACACTGTACGTCTGCTTTTGAGTCTCATCCATAGGATCTGTACAAGAGACAGCATTTACTCATTTGAAATTGGAGTCTTTTTTGTTTTCCCATAACAGAACTAAGCTTGCTGATCTCTTCTTCAGGAGAATGAGCAGTTAACGTTAAAATCTATTTTCTCACAGTGTACTGCACACGCTTCAAAAGCAGGACAGATTGTACTTTTTGTTCCCAGTCTAAGCACACAGTGACTTCAGCTGTGTTACTCCATTGTTACACAATAGCCAGGATTTTCTGCTCTGTTAAATTTATTGTCGTAAAAATAAAAAGCGTCTCTGATTAAAGGAATCAGGTCTGGAGAATCTAGATCTCACTAAGTAACATTAAAAGCTCATTTTCTTCTGGAATGGGTCAGCTGAGTGCCCCTCCCAAGCTGCCTGTGCGGGAGGACTCACCACGGAGACGGTCTCCTCGGTGACCAGCTTCAGCACATCGATGACGGAGATGTACCCCAGGCGCTTGGCGATGGCCAGGGCCGTGGTGCCGTTCTGACAGAAAGACAGAGGGAGCATCACAGCGTCCATCGCGCTCCAGTGCCGTCACACGCAGGCTAACGCGGTGAACAATTTGTACTGTAAACCTGAGCTGACATGGAGCAGAAAATCCTGAACAGAAAGGCTGGAAGGATAGCAAGGATCTACTGTAGCTTTGACAGCAGCTATATCACCCTGCAACTCACAACTGGAAACCCACTGAAGCCCAGCAGGTGTGAGCCTGGTCAGTAATAATAATAATTGCTTACACTTATATAGCGCTTTTCTGGACACTCCACTCAAAGCGCTTCACAGGTAATGGGGACTCCCCTCCACCACCACCAATGTGCAGCATCCACCTGGATGATGCGACGGCAGCCATAGTGCGCCAGAACGCTCACCACACATCAGCTATTAGTGGGGAGGAGAGCAGAGTAATGTAGCCAATTCATAGAGGGGGATTATAAGGAGACCATGATTGGTAAGGGCCAATTGGAAATTTGGCCAGGACACCGGGGTTACACCCCTACTCTTTTCGAGAAGCGCCCTGGGATTTTTAATGACCACAGAGAGTCAGGACCTTTTTCCCAGGAGGTCTCCCCTCCAGGTACTGACCAGGCTCACACCTGCTTAGCTTCAGTGGGCTGCCAGTTGTGAGTTGCAGGGTGATATGGCTGCTGGCACAGTACCTTGAGTGGAGTGTCCAGTAAAAAGCTATATAAGTTTACTAAATCATTATTAATTATTATGAACTTTACATCTACTAGAAAGCATTTTACAATGACTGAAGCATCTGTGGGAGTACCGCAGTGCAGTTCAGAGAGCGATATTTTCACTCTTCGCTCTTTAACAAAGCTTTACAGATGTCCACCACCCAGTAAAACTGACTGGAGAAGCCAGCTGCTGCCCGGACTGGGGGGTAAAGGGGAGTGGTACTGTAACACCAGCTCTCCGAGGTGTGAACGGGGGTACTCACTGTGGTGGTCTCGTTGGGCAGGGCGCCGTGCTTCAACAGCAGGGTGACGATGTCGGTGTGACCCTGCTGCGCGGCCTGGTGGAGAGGGGTGTACCCCGCCTGCCGAGACAGACAGACAGACCCTCCGATCAACAGAACATCCCACCCCAGCGGGCATTACCACAGGGCACGGTCCAGAGCACACCGCATCAGAACACAGGACACTCGTAGGTCTGTGAACTACAGCAATTCAGAGGCGGGAAGAGAAATATACGACACAGAGAGAGGGACATGAAGGCAGGAAAGGCAGAGAGGAAGATGGAGACAGGTGGACAGGGAATGAAAGAGACAGACGAAGTAAGAAACAGCGCTCGTGGTGAGAGGGAGAGTGGAGGCCCTGGTTACCCTGGTCTTGCAGTTGGCGTTGGCTTGCTGCTGCAGGAGAAACTTGACCATCTTGATGTTGCCATAATGACTGGCCACGTGCAGGGGGGTGTAGCCCATCTGGAGGGAGAGGAAGAGGGTGTTGATGCTTCAGGCTGGGGGCAGTTTGCAGTTTTAAAGAGCCACTGTCTGGATGTCACCACAAGTCTATACTGTATATGCAGAGTTTCCCATTGGTTCTTATAGGAGTATAAATATAGAGTCCTGCACAGAATGTCCATCTCATTTCTGCAGTTACATCGCTTCATTTTCCCACAACAAATTTCATTCTCTCGATAGGCCACAAATATGTAATAAGCATTCCACACTTAATCAATCTAGCTTAAAACTGAAGATGCACACATTGATTTGCGCTTATATGCACATTTCCTGGAATTGCGTTAATGTCACAGACTTGTTAACTGAAAAGACTCTAAAATGGATTTTTCAGATCATTAGAAATCCAGAAGTGGGCAAAGAAACATCCTCAACAGGATGAAGCAGGAAAAAGCAGAGGGTGCCCACAGTATTTGAAACACAGATGCACATGGGGTGGCCAATGAATGAGTTTTAGCTGGAGCGTAACATATTTACTCTTCACATCTGCCCTCTCAGCTGTCCAGCTCCTGTGTCTCATCTGCCTCTTTCTAAGGTGAAACAATATTTATGGCTCTTTCATTGAACTGGTAACACAATCCAGTGTGCCGGTAGTGGAACGGCTATTTTTAAAAGAACATTAAAGTTCTGGTGCACTGTCAGCAGGGCAAAATACAGTACAGTGCATCACACAGCAGCAGAAAGAACAGGAGAAAAAGAGCAGGCCCCCTGCATCACAACAGCTCAATGACATCCAACTAGCTGGGCTATACCCATGAGGCAACTGGATGTGTCTCAATGATGCCAGCATGTGGGACTCAAGACAGTCCCTTGCAAAGAGCTTTACAGTACGTCCTTCGGGGATGAGTTAGAACTGTGCAGGAGTCCGTGTCACA